AATCGTTGGCATAATATGATGAGGGATGTCTCCACCGTTTGAGAAAAATCTCCTCTCGAGGTGACAGCACCGCCTCGAAAAAGGGTTCCTTTTTGCACATTACATAAACGTAGGACGTAAAGCTCCTCATTTTGTGATTATTTGTTCATTGACTTGTGAATTAAAAACACCATTTATTTATAAACACTGCAGACATGTTTTCTAATTTTTTTTTTAATATTTATGGTATCTTGTCATGGATAGGATATATGTGTCTTAATCAAAATATATATATAGTCAATTATTGCAACACTGATAGTAAATCAAACATTTATTGATTCTAAAATTCATTAGAATATATTTTATCTTACAGACTTTTTTTATAAACATTTAGATGCGCACTTTTTCTTGTGTCCCCCGTTATAACTAGTCACTGTAAACAACGCTGTGTAGCAAGCCACTTTAACCAATGCCGTGTAGCGAGTCACTGTACGCAATGCCGTGTAGCAAGTCAATGTAGCCTACTCAACGCAGTGTAGCAAGCCACTGTACTCAATGCCGTGTAGCAAGCCACTGTACTCAATGCCGTGTAGCGAGTCACTGTACTCCATGCCGTGTAGCAAGCCACCGTCCCCAACGCAGTGTAGCGAGTCGCTGTACTCAACGCAGTGTAGCGAGTCAAATAGAAATTTTGTGTGCCACCTTACTCAAATATTTGTATTGTATTGTAGACGGAGGGGCGGACCCAGTATTGTGCCGATGGTCTGTTACTCTCTAAGATTCAACAATGTTTTACAAGCAATGTGATCGGACGGGTGGATAGCCGCCAAACCATTCAGATAATCAGTTGAGGATTAAACCTTGACTCTTCGTCTTTGAATGCACTTTCATTGAAGAAACTAGTTAAATAGAGACACATGACATAGTCAAATATCATGTTGATACCCGTCGCAGTTTTGTCAAAATTTCACATTAAATAGATATTTAAACCCTTTAAAAGTTAAATCTGGCAGACTTGATATATCATGTTTAAAACACCTTATACCCATTTCACGTAATCTCGTTCTGCTCCGTTGATATTTATCAATTTCGACTTGATGAATGACGGTGGACAACCGAACTTCGATATACCTGATCGACTAATAGGGGCTAAGGCCAACGTTGTGACTAGCATAATTCAACTGTATTCTCAACGACTGCTAGAAATGAATGGCATAGATGAGAAACTGGTCGGTCGCTGGGTTTAGTCCACTGGGTTTAGTCAACTTTAATGCAACAATAATTGCAGTTGTCGTTACTAATTGAATATGCTCACAGTTGTTACTAATAGTCCCTTATATGGTTATATTAATTCACATGTCTAAAATATTTGTCGTCGTTCATGTCAGGAATGAACAAGAATCGAAACGACGACATGTTTTTCTCATAAGACCGATAAAATATTTCCCGAACTCTCATTCTTTGAAAATGTGGTCATGCGGTAGGAAATAAAGGACTATTATCTATTTATTTCATGCATTATCGGAATTTGGTTGCGCTTAAGTAGCCTGATATTTTCCATGAAGGGCTAGATTCCGTTCACAACGAATTAGGCTACTGTGGTCACTTGCGCCTTAATTACTGATACACCGCCACCCCTGACTGGTGCTGGAAACAATAATCATATTGTCAGTTGTCGCGTGTATAGGGTCATTCGGGGTCATGGTTCGGGCTTAATAAAGAGAATCAACCATCAGGGATCAGGTAACAGCTTTATTCAAATTAAGCACGTGCCGACAGGTGTCTCATTTTGGCTCTTCAGCTGAGAGTTAAAAATAGTATCCATAGCAACGAGATAGGGGTATCTTTTATTAAGGGATTGAGCAGATTTCAGACAATGTGCCCGTTAACTTTGTCTTTGTATTTAACAGTTCGAGTGCAAAATGAAAGGCGATATTATCATAAAAGACAATTAAAGTTCAACGGGCTACTTGTAGCCTTCTGTTACATTTTCACATTTCACAGGTCAACGAACGGTTCTTTTTTTCAAATCCCTAGCTCGTCTTATGGAATTCACTGAAAATTTAACATGGACCATCGGCTGAAGCTTAAGAGCTATAGTATGTATGTACTTTGCTTGATAAATTAATTGACCATTATGAAGATGGTGGCCAGAATGCGCTGGTAAAATCAATGCCGTACCGAATTATCAGTCTAGGCGGGGATATAGTGTAATTGTGGAGTATGTTTGCATAACATGACTTAAGAAGAATCTACCTTTGGCGTAACCTTATTGTCAAGTCTAACTACGCCTACGTCAAGTCAATACTTAACCCTATTTATACCAGGCGAGGATATCACCCAATTAACTCTAATACAGTCATGACTGATATTTTTAGCCAAGCCTACTATTTTAAGACATACTATTGACTATTTTAGTACTAGTATGATAAAGTTTGTCTTGAAGGTTGAGAAAGATATAGCGTCAAGAGAGAATTAAGGCGTACACCTGTAATTGAAAGAGCCTTCAAAAGTAAAGATAATATTAATGTAGATAGCTTTAGCGTCAAGATTAAACTATTTAGTCCTGAGATTTAACAATAATTATTTGAGCCAAAACAAAATAAACAACATGCAATGACATGGCTTAGAAGCTTGATTTTGTCAATCAATTTGAGAAAATAACATATCACAAGAGTTGTCGACATTAGCAATACAAATCTAAATGTTAAAAGAAACAGGGGTTGCAAACTCTTCATGTGATGAGACACTAAACCAAGGGCGATAAGTTATGCACGCTGGAAATCGAAAAAGGCACTATGGTCACTGTTTGACGCAATTTGTTTTCTTGTCTGCCAATTGAAAAGCATAATCCGTCGACATTAAGTCAGTGATGTGCCAAGGGACGTGAAATCCATTCCAATTGGGTTATCTCAACAACATTAATTGTGATAACCAAATGATGACTGATGAGTAAAAAATCTATAAACGATTTTTCGTCATCTTGTTTATCAAAGTCTAGGATTACGTGTAGCAGACCCTAGATTAACCTCCCAATTATAGTGTAGGCCTATTTGTCACAAGTCTATCAAAACATCAACAACCTAATGAGTCATGGTCGTTGTGGATTACAACGGACATCTCGGAAAAACACCTCGGAAACGTGGGTTATCGATTTAACCGAGAATATGTCTTCATCCAATCAGAGAGTATTTCTGTGTAACTAGGGGAATTCCTTGACTCGCACCCTGCAGTAATTATTGTGTTGCTAGGACTGTCTTGTTTCCAAGTAAAAATTTTCGCAAAATAAATTCATTGATTGGTTACAAAACACGGAAAATGAACCTTTTTGAGGAAGTGTTTGTTTTTCTGTGTAAAATTGGTTATTTCAATTTAAAATATCAGAACTTAATACTTAATCAAATAAAAGTGCTAAACAATATTAGCAGGGATTCGGTGAATAACTCGAAACTTTTGGTGACTTTCAGTTTGCCCATGGTGGGTAAGAGGTAGGCCTACAAGGTACATCTAAATGTAAAAAAGGGGTACGAGGAGCCCAAAGATTGAAAAGTTGGGCTCAAATCCAAAGAACAGCAGACGTAAAATTAAAGCAGATCAGTTAAAACAATGTATGATGACTCGAAACAATATTTCAGATAAGAATATATTTGGGGTAGGTTATTCCTTGAAGCCAGGATGGGCTCAAAAGATAACCGAGCCCCAAAATTTGTAAGTCCGCCAAGTGCAATTTACGATAACAAAAGGTGTTTCTCACCTGGGCTATCCCTTTGTCAAACATGTTTTGAATCAGAAATATCATCCCTGAAAAAAATAAAAAACTCGCCCTCTAAAAATACAAAGAATTAATCGGTTTAGGATTGTGTAAAGTTGTTTTCAAAATCTTTTATATGTATCGGGGACACTGATAGTATCGATTGCACCATTCCAATTTTCTTAAAAGAATCTAATACTTTTGCGATTATGATATATGGTAAAGCATTTCTATAATTGCAAGAACAACAAACATCTGAATAGTAAGGATGCATATTATATGATCCCAATACAAATAAACAGTTTAGAAAACCCCTTAACAACCCCTCTAACAGTGCGGTTAAGAACATGGGGTCAGGGGCACTAATAATAAGGAAAAACCTAAGTTTTCAAGCCTTAAAAAGTAAATGTCCCGAAATACTTTCCAAATCTTTTGTACACGATTAAGGAAATGAATCAACCTGTCAGACCACTATAAACATCATACCATAACATGCTAGTTGTATCAAATGTACTAAATATAGTAACAAAGGCCACCAGAATATAACGTGTCCAAACTCTGACACATAATTTCAAGGGCTTTCCTGCTTTCCCCTCTAGCAACCCGGAAACTCTGACGTCAGACCATCACGATTTTGAAATATTTACCTGATTTCGCTAGGGCCTACGACTAACAAACAATAATATTATTATCAAATGACCTTGTTTCGCCCCATTAGATTACCGCCGATTAAATCAGGCTGTATTTAACATTTATACCTCTATTGTCATCTATAACTGTTGTATTGCTTGTGAAATGTGTGCATCTATTTTCTGTTCTGCAATTAGAGGTGATTCTATAGAGAGGAATTAAAAGATGATTACCTTTACAGAACTGTTTTGATTTTTTTAGCTTGATCAAACCAGCGGCGTTTCTATGAAAATTTTGGCGACGGGGCCGAGTAGAGGGCGCACGGGCAATCCCTTCACTATGTGATAAGAATTTTGAAAGTCGAAGTGGGGGGAGGGGGGTCCAGGCTGGTCCCGTCTTTCTTGTAGAAATGCCAATGAAACACCCACAATGCGCCAAGATGAGAATAATGCATAATTTAGCAACTTTATTTCAATCTTATAAAAAGTGAAATCATTTTTGCTATACATATATTATTTCTTTTTGGAGTACTTCACTGCGCTTCTAAATCCACTGGCTGGGCTATTTTACTTGGGAATTATAAACATAAAAATTTGTAAGAGTTTCTTCCTTGTTTGAAAGCAATAAATATTATTAGTATACCTTTTTAGCACTTTATATTCAACATTTTATACATACATTGTTATATAACAATTTCATAATTAGCATAAGACAGGTATGTCGCATTGACATCTATACACTGAGTTTTTCATTTTTTAAGTCGCAATAAATTATATTTGGACTGAAGAAAGTTAGTTAAAGGGAAATAACTGCCGTCAAAATATTTCAGACCACAAATAAATCGAGCTACCTTAACGACAATTAAGTAATTCAACTACACGACAATCGCTATAGAAGTACCAGACTTCAGAGATATATATAAATTTCCCTCATTGTATACTGCATGACATTGCCAAATGAAGAGACAGAACATAAGATTTAAAAACTTCATTTCTTTTTATCGAACTTTTAACAATTTTCAATTTTTTCATATATTTGTCTCTGAGTGTAAAGTTGTATAGGAGATAATCTCTTATAGAAGCACTGGTCGAGGGAAACTGACACTATTTGGGCTGTTCAAGCACAGTTTCTAAAGCTTTGGAAGTAGATTCGAGTTAATCAGTTTAATTCCCTTGTCCATCATTCCTCAGTTTTGTCTCCCAGTATTTTAGTCATATAAGGTCCTTCTAATTCATAACCAATTTTTCTGTAGTAATTTCTGGTTCCAACACCTACAGAATACAAAATTTATGTTAAAACTTGCCTCTCTCAAGATTTGTTCTCTTAATTCAAAGCATCTAGTTGTTCAGATGTTTGCTACAGGCTGTGCACGTTAAAGAAACCTCAACAGTTTGAAATCAAAGAAAATTAATGCTGGCAAATTTTCCCTTATTGCAAACTTCAAAGTGTTGCCTGCCTTCATTGGCTCAATTAGGTGCAGACTAGGATATTAACCTCCATTCATTTCGATTATTTTCTGCAATTCCACAAAAAAGAAACCTGGAACTTTTACCTTATCCCCAGCTCTATCAGCTGTTTGAGCAACGACTTTATTACTTTGATTTAACAGTTTTAAATGTGTAGGATTGATACAATGATTTGACTATACCTGATATGACACCTATTTTCCACGAACCATGTTCTTCTTTAGCTATTCTTTCAGCTTCCTCCATTAATAACATACCAAATCCCTGAAAAAAATAAAAAAAACTAATTCAAGGTTTTGTCAGATTTAGGCAATTTCCACAATAAGTGAATTTGCTACTAGAAATATTGCCTGTGGTTATTCAAACCCTTTTCCACAATAATTGTTTGAAAGAATCTTATTGGTCTGGAAGTAAATTCTCTACCAATCAAATCAATGATAAGAATATCAGAATGTGGAATGGGCACGTGTGAAAAATTTAATTAGGTCAAACTATCATTCTGTTTCTAATCAACTTTTATTATCCATGAAACCACTTCATTTAGTGTCTAAAGACAGCCCTTTATAACATTTTCTGCCCTCTCCAACACTGGGATTTTGTGACTCGAACAAAAGGTACATTCAGTGTCAAATGCTTCTTAGAATGTACCATTTGTTTGCATCACAAAATCCCAGCATACACAATACATTACTAAAGGAACATGTTAGATTGTTGAGAGGCAGGTGGCATTCATAATTCTTGCTTTTATTTCTTGGAAGGAAGGAATATTTCTTGTAGAACAGCCATTTGTAAAACATTAAAATAAAGACTAACCTGATGTTGAAATTTAGTAGGATCTCTAGCGTGAACAGGAACCACACTACCATAAACATGTAATTCTCGTACAACTGAACATCCCCCCACTAACTCTGGTCTAAAAGTCTCTTCTGAACACTTGCGTAACCGTAGCAACCCTATTAATATATCTTGTTCCGGATCTTCATATGATAAAAATGTCTCCCAGCCACCATTAGCTACATAATCTCTTCTTATTAGTTCAGCCTAATATGGAATGAAAGGTAACAATTCAAAAGATGTTTATGCAAAAGAAAAGAAATACCATGCAGTGTACAATATGGGAAATTTTATAAGACCACCAGCATTAGTCCACTCCTTCTGGGTTTATAACCGTTAGTGAATCATAAAATACACAGCAAAAAATGATTGAGATCCTGCATTATACCAATTCTTATTGAATTTCAAATTAATCTGAAATTCTTTTGCATGCACAGCCAAAATATACAAAGAATCTAAGCTTTTGTCTCAGAAGAAGAAGGGTGTGTCTTGATTGATCAAATCTTCTGAACATGAGGACTTAATTTTAACGTTATTTACCTCATAGGGTTTGACTTTATGATGTATTTCCTGAATACCCACTTCTCTAGTCCGAACATCTCTACATTGTGTGCCCAGATCTTTCATACGAGCTAGAGCTAACTCTCTCAGATTACCATGTTCCACACCAGATGTTACTAAAGGCATTGGTATATCTCTATAATGTTAATGAAATGAAATTGGATACAATGTTATGTCCTATAAACACTGCAGTATATCATTAGGTGATAAGGGTTGAAAGCTGATACTTGGCTGACTTTCAGAAGCATTTGCCATGGCATCAGAATTTCTCTATCCTTCAAGGGTGCCTAATTGCCTACAAGACAACAAACTTGCTACCAACTGAGCTATTCCACTTGAATACAGATTGAAAATATAAAATTAACGATATTTCAAAAAGGCATTACTGTTATTTTTTAGTTATTAAAAACAGCAGTGACCTTAATCTACTCAACAACTAAAACCTTTCGAATAATATCAGAATTTAAAGTATGAAGTCTGACCTTTGAACTCTGTAGATTCTAGTCCAGGGTGGTACTAGGGCTAATATTCTAGCTACCAGATCTATCAGTACACTGGGAGGATAACTCTTATATCTACCTGTCTTCCATAGCTCATATAATCCTGTAACCATAGAAACATTATTATTTATTTCATATCTTTTTTCTATTTATTCATTATTTTATTAATAAATGGTCATCATCCAAAAAAAGGGTACCTGATAGAGGACTTTTCTTTTGTGGGCTATTTTGTGAGTTTTTATTTTGACTATCACGGTTCATTGCTGTCAGGTACAGAAAAGGTAAGAAATCTTTCAAGGTTACCTACCTGTACCTCTTATCACCAATGTAGGATAAATTTTTAACCCGTCTGCTCTGAAAGCAGGATTTTCGAAAAATTCCTGAAAAAAAAAACAGAATAAAGAATTACACTTTAAATTATTTCAGGTTAAAAAAATGATTTCGCAAGAAGTAAATCAAAACTTATCTTCCATATTTTATTTTTTACAAAAGTTTCTCAACAATGATGATTAAGGTGGCTGCCACTAGCCAGACAACTGACCCTTCCAAACACCTGATACCACTCTGTATCTTTAAGGACAGGTCTACTATCATGACAATTCTATTAACGACTACTTACAATAAATTGTTCTATATCTCTCTCCCACCCGATATTAGGTAAATCAGGCATCATATGTGACACCACTTTAAACCCAGCATCTTTGGACATTTGAAAAGATTCACACGTAGCTTTTACTGTATGACCCCTGATAAAATACAAGTTAGAATTAAAATTTTAGTATCCTATCTCATCACATATACCTAAATTTAGAACAATAAACAAATATCCTTAACATTGTTGCCTCAATAATGATGTGTAAGAAGAGAAATACAAGGCCAGTGATCACATAGGGTAAAATCTAGCAAACTAATGAATTCTTTTGGATGATGTTATATTAAAGATGGGTTCCCTTATTTTCATTTATGAAAATAAAAATGCTAATATTTATATGAATAGAAAGTAGAGGTGTTCTAATGACTTTGAAAAATACCAGTTTGTCTCACATCTCCATAATTAATTCATAATTAGCTAAATTAGAAAAGAATTACCAGCAGAATTCCAATGAGAGACCGATCAAGAAAGGTCAAAAAGTCTTTTTTTGTTTATCCAGATTGTACATACATGGACATTTATGATTGGTTAAAACTCTTAATTTATGCGATAAGAACATAATGATATGATTAAGAATACATGATTATTCATTAAAAACACCAATTCATCAAATAGTTAGCTTAATATGGCACTACAAAACAAGGAAACCCATCTTTAAAGAGACAGTACCTATTGGTATCTCTAGCAATATCTTCATAAACACTTTGTACACCAATTTCTAATCTAGTACAGCCATAATTTAACATATCACTACAAAAAATATCACTTTCTCATTAATACTGTTTACTGTTAACTCACAAAAATACAAGTACATATATTTGGAATTCATTCTTTCCATTTTTGGTGAACATTCTTCCTATTCTAAATAGGTTATATTTTCATCAAATTATAATGACATAATTTCAGTGCGAGATCTAAGACATCTTGCCCGGCAACAAGGATTATCAATCCTGATCTTTTCTGATTTCAAAAATTCTCCTTTCCGATTTTGCCAAATTTTATTTGACCCACTAACAGAAATGGCTCTGAGTATATAAAATATGGTACCATACCTCAGATGTTTTTTCAGACAATAATCTGGTCTGGTTTCTATGGTGATGCCAATACATTTTGTTGTGCTCTTTTCAGAAAACCTTAAAAGTAACAAAAATCCTTATTTTTTGCTCCAGTGGGTAAATCAAGACAGGACTGGTCATGCCCTGACATGAATGAGGGGTTTCATAGTACAGATGTTTAGAGCGCTGAAATCTGTACATGGGTCATTTGCTAGGTTACATCCGACAGGTTATGGATTGGATTCTAATCTTGGACAGCTTTCGAAAGTCTGGTGACCTTGATTAATTCACCTTCCTAATTATTGTACAGAACATTGAGGAAAAAGGTTTAGCCAAGGACCTCGAGAACCTAAGATATTACAAAAAGTAAATTGGTATTAGGGTATATTCTTTCTTACTTTCTATTGCACAGAGCCTATGTTTAATTTGGTTTAAAGGGACAGGTTTGCCATTTTTCGGGGGGTTGGTTTGGGTCTTAAATATATATAAATAGTCTTCAGAAGTACTAGAAATGTACAAAAATTGCACAAACAATTCCTTCAAAAATATCTCAAACTAGGAATTTCACTTCTTTTTTCTATATATGTCTTTTCTATATATGGCAGAGTCTCAAGAAATGACGAATCATCATTTCAACATACAGACACAGATAATTCTGAACATATGGATTGCTATTGCTGATTAGCTGAGACTGAAGTATGATTGGTCAAACAAATGGCGACCATGTCCCTTTAATAAACAGTACAGCAATATACTTACTTGACAGCTTCATTGACATTACAGCTAGTATGACCAGATAGAGCATCATGTAAATTACGTATAAAATAATCTCGATAATCTTCAGGTAAACTCATAAACGTACCTCCCATTACTATAAACTCTACTTTATCTACACTATGTCCTAGTTGTTGTAACTATAGTAACGAAAACAAAATAAAAATCATACATTCCAGCTTTCTGTAACTGATTGGGATTACAAACAATGATGTGAAATTGCAAGGAGAGACACACTGCAATGCTGTGAAACCACTGGATATGCTTTAAGGCCATGGTTTACCATTTTCAGGGGTTGATTTGGGTCTTGAATATATGTAAATAGTTGCATAACCCCTTCATGTATACTTCAAACTAAAAATTACACTTTCTATATATGGTGAAAAAGACAAGTAGTCTTTCAAATGCAGGGAATTCTGAACACACATGGATTTGAAAACTCAAATTTCAACGGTGAGCTCTGAACATTATTACTGATTAGCCTAAGCTAAATAGGCCTGTTTCAGAAAATAATGTTCAATTGGTCAAATGGATGGTAATCCTGTTCCTTTAACTAATTGGTATACTTTTTAATTATTGATGGGTCAATACAAATTGATCTATTATAGAAATGTCTTAAGTCACAAAGAATGAAAGTGTCCCTTTTTAACATATATATATGTACCTGTTCTACTCTATGTCTGGTTTGTAAATATGGATTATATCTTGCTCTAATAGCTCTCATTGATGTGGGCTGAAATCAAACAAAACATTTCAAAAATCTTTCCCAAAATTACATTTTGATTGAATTGTTAAGTAGGTCAAGGAAAGAAATGAAAAGAATTTCATGTGGAAGTAAAATCATACAGGCCTTGTTTTATCACAATACATAGCAGATAAGCCTTTGCAAAATAAACAAAAAAAGCAACAACACATATTCAGTAACCTTGAAAAATATAAGCCCAGATCGAAACCTGGAACCTTCATGTTTAAAGCAAGCAAGCACATCAAGTTGTTGAGTTACAGATTACTTTTAAGATTTTAACACTTTCACCCTTTCACAATATATACCTGAGCAGCAGGTAAACTGACCATTACTAAGTGACATTACACAATGTTAACATCAAACACTTTTACTTATAATACTTGGAGTTCAAGGTATATGACATTATATTTCATTTACACTCAGGGTTTAAAGTGTTAAAGGAGGAAATAAGAAAATAACAACATACTTCATAACCAGTATATGACTGTGTAGAATATTCAAAATCTGAATCTGGACCACCAGGACAATATCTTAAATAAACATAAACAATTTAAAATAACAAAACATCAGGGCTGAATATTATATTCCTGATGACGTTGAAGTAATAAATATTCTAGAAGTATCTATCCATAAATTGTATTATTTACCTATAACCTGTGCTTCTAATATGCCTTTGAAAGATTATCAGGGCTGTTGTTTTAACTGTATTGTCACTTGTATTTTCATGTCATTTTGTTCATTATCTAAATAGGCATAATTCATTATCTAAATAGGCATAATTCACAGATAAAGAGTTATATACAGGGATGTAAGAACACAGCGAACTGGAGTAATAAAAATTAAATCAAGAGGTGAATTAGATATATTTTATATACTTACACACAGATATTACCAGTCATAGCTATATGAGGACAACGATGAGGTTTACACATAACTGCTACTACAGCTATCTATTGAAAAAAAAAGGGAACTCAAACGTTGAGGTCTCTAAAACGGTCAACCCCTGTGGCATCAGGTGTTTCAGAAGTAGCAGCATGCCTTCAAACCGAGTCTAACTGTCAAATATTTTATTGGTTTCTTTTTTATATTATAAGATAAGCTTTTGCATAATTGTGGTATTTCTTAAGGACGTAAACATCTGACACCATATCAATGACATAAATTTGTCAGCCAACTTAAAATTGACACATCCAGATTCAAACTTGCTGGGTATTGTTTAGCTCCATTCATCCTAGTGATCTAATAAATAACAAAGACTTACTCCACTAGCTGTTCTCACTGGTTTCGCTTTTAATTTAGGAACCAATGCCTGGAAGAAATTTAAGAAGTTCATCTTTCCACAACAAAAGGATAATTTACAATACCAAGGTGGTGGTTGATAAATTCCCACAACTAAATGATAGTTTCTCAAATTCCCATAAAAATCAAGTTACCTTTTTATATTGCTGTGGTACAGCAGCTATAATATCTACTAATCTAGGTTGACTAGGTAAACCATATTTACTGGATATTCTCGTCTTCACTCTAGTAAAAGAAGAACAGAGATAAACCATAGACATCATCAAAACAATAATCAACCTTTATTACTATTTACAACTATGATTTGTTTTTTAAACAATTCCCAAACAATCAGAGCATATAGAGTATTGCAAAAAAATGATGATTGTTTCCTATAGACTGCTCAAATTAATTGGTTAATTGGCATTTAGAGCTAACATTATTAAAAAAACAACTGACTTGTTCAAGTTGACATCTTTGCCTTCTTGATCTGCTTTAATTAATTCATTGACAATTTCTGAGACTGTCATCATCATCAACTCTTCTTTAGAAGCAGTGGGAACTGAAATAAATCTTATCGTTTTCAAATATTCCAATATAGGTAGTTCTAGTCAATCTTACTTATTAATCTTTCAGATTATTCACTATGCAATAATATGTGTTATAATTTTGAATTATATCATGGGTTGAGGTAGATATTAGTAAGAAGCTGTTTTGAAAAAGTAATAGCCATACGTAGTTCATAAAACAAGAAGAGTACACTCCACTTTACAGCATGATTATCATAAATCCAAACAGGCCTAGGCTAATGATTAGAACTGAAGTCGTGAAGACTGGTAGAACTTGGACCAACACCACTGTGAATCTATTTCAAAATAAAGGCACCTGATGTAAGAATTAGATCGTTGTCTCACCTTTTTTCTTTGCTTTTACCATTTTGGTATCATCCAGGTTACCAACTTTAAGTGATAAAATTTAATGATCCTTGTAATGGAATCTTGGTAATAAGTCAATCTGTGGATCATTCATTCCATTTCATCTTCATTACGTGATATTGTTTACATGTGGCTAACGACCTTCACCTTTTAATGCAGAGCTGTATCATACAATTTGGTATAACTAACTTTTTATTTTTTTCTTACAAAATAATTGAACACATATTTAATTTGAATAATAGTCCATGTCATTTCTATCCGATATCTTATAAATTTAATCAGAAATTGGCTTATTTGTGTGGAAGAAGTCAAAATCAGTTGGATACGAAACTGCTAACACAAATATTTGCATACATCATTTCGGGTAAAGTAAGTGCAAGTGGAAATGTTTTGACGTTTTAATATTTAATTTTGGTTCTATGAAGAGATGTGCCCCGGATAAAGTGTAAAATAAGTCGCCATGTATTGTCTACAGTGGTTGATTCCAGTTCTTCTCATACCGAAGCCACTAAACCCAGCACTGATATACAATCATGCCATGTTTATTGTGCTGTATTTGACCAGTTTTTTTCTAGTCAGAAAACCATGTACAATTTGCAGCCTTGTTTTCCTGGCGGCCGTGTTTCTCATCTGCTACAGTTGTGTAGGAAATTGTGTTTTGTGGCATTGTCCTGATGATAATTGTGAAGGGGTTGGGTGTCCCTGAGGAGAAGGTTTTACCATGTGAAAGTGAAAGTGAAAGAAAGTAAGCAAATTAGACTACCGATACTCAAAATCAATAAACAATAGGCCTTTTGCCAATGTTAATGAATTGTTAATCTGAAGCTTTTGAGAGACATTCTATCATTAATACATTTGTTTGATTTGAAATGAAGATATAAAACAACACATGTAGTTGTATGATTACAATCTTTGCTTCACCTGAGGAAGATCTAAAGAGGAGAAAAAAAGCTTCCTTGATGAGATTGTGGACCTTAAATTGGAGTTTTGTGTAAATTGAAGTGTAACTGCTGATAAATTGATTTTTGGTTTAAATCTGGAATGAATTTTGATATGTTGTTAAATATATTTCTACTTCTAAATTGTGACACTCTTGTAAAGAGAACTGTGCACAAATTATATTGTTATTTATCCTAGTTGTCATGTAAAAATATCATATAGAATCAGTGAAGTTATGTTATGAACACTCTGATATCATGGCAAATTTTTATCTGTTTAATCAAGTAGATATTATGTTTAAGGCAGGGCCTTCCTTTAGATAGCTGTATCGTAATCCAATACATGACAACTCCTGTCTTATCTTAGTTATGAGCCGAATCTTTTTGGTTGGTGCAAAATAGGGCGTTTACAATTTATTTTATTCCTTGTGCCAGAAAAAATGTTATCATACAAAAATAACTGGAAAAAATGCAATTCTGAAATTTGCATAGTTACAACTTAGAATATTACTCACATTGTTTCAAATCCTTCCAGTTTTTTTGTTCTGTAAACCAGTTGTTATCCATCTTGTATTATATGTACAAAATAGAATTATTATATTTCTATGAAAACTTTCCAATCATCATTATAGATCTCATTAAACACCACTTTCATCTTATTATATTAGAATATGGTGGACATTTTTATTTTGGATTTAAGCCAATATGGAACTGACACTGGATGAAGATTAGCATTTTTTTCTGTTTAATGTTTACATTAATTTGAAATAAGTTAAGTACATTGATTTGAAATAGGTTTAGTACATTAACTTGAAATAAGTTAAGTAAAATTTTTTCAAGTATTACCAATCAGAAATTTGGGAATGTCATCACTGTCAGATAGTCGACATTCTTATTTTGATTTTTCTTTACTCAATTTTCTTAAATCTATAGTTAAACTGTGTTCTTAAGCTTATCGATTATGAATATTTGTCCGTTACGGTATGTTTTTCTGCAAAAAACGAAAGATTCAATTCAGTTAAGTACTATTTAAGTTATTAAAACCTGACATGGTTTACACTACTGCTTGTCAACCCCTAATCATGAGATACTCAAGCAGCCATCATGCCTCAAAATTCAAGATCATATGCTTTTAGTTATATCAGTTGGGAGTTCAGGGTATATGAGGTTTTTTATGTACAATCAGTGTTCAAAGAGTTACTGGCTTACTTGGTCTAATTATTGAAAATTATCATTAGTCATTAGTATCAAATAAACTGCAATGATGGTAGATTTGATTTTATATAGATGGTAAAATTTTGTTCACTAGAATGATGATTATAAAAGGAATATTTGATACACTGAATGAGGAACAATCTGTGTCACTTTTAAGATTTAAAATCTCAAGCAATTTAATACAAAAATATTCCAACAGGCTTGATAATATCATGATTCTAACATAAAAAGTTTAACCCTTTTTAAACAATTCAGTTTGATCAAGTAAATACCTAGTATTAAATAGTATATTTCACAAATATTTTCATGTATAATTTTCAATGTTTTTAATTAAAAGGATAAATTGACCAGTAATACCTTACAATACAAATTTTTAATCTGAAAATGGCCCGAGATAGAAAGTGCTTTTTGTATTGTTTATTAACCATATTTTTTATATTTTTATTTTGTGGAGGCCTTCAATTTGTTGATCATCATTTATGTATATTATGTTGAAATAATGGACTTAAAATAAATAAGTAAACAATATGACATTTCACAGTGTAATAATTAGGGCAATTGTCTATCTCTAGGTTCAAACAGATTCCAGATGTAACCATGTGAAAAAAACGCATCCGACATGGTTTCACAGGAACTGCTAAAAGATCGTCGCATTTTGATGTTTCAATGAAAATGAATTGGCGGTCATGCACTAGTGTCAGTGTGGCAGAGTGTCACGGTGATTGAAGCTTGTGAAAATGTGCATGTGATATTATGGTTGAGGCAGAATTTTGCTAAATTGTTATATGCAATCAGAGAGCTATTGTTTATCACGTTGTTAACAGATCCTGAGCATTCGGAGGTCACACGTTTGTGTTTACTCTCATTTTGTGTTGGTTTACCTTCTGGTTTGTATGTGTGGTGGTGATATTTTGCATAAGCCATTGCGAAAATTTGTCTGTCACAAGTGTATTTCATCCTTCAAACCTCTCGTCAAATATCTGCTTTGACCAATATTTAAATTCTCTTTTTACACGATCATCTAGTCAAGATTGACATTCAAGAGATTTCAGAATTATATCTAGTATAGTATAGCAAAGGTATTTTTGCTCATCTGGGTCTGATATTAAACATAAACACAAGCAGTTCATTTTATTTGCAGGTAGAATAAATAGTTATTGAAACTGTACGGATTAAACTTACATTGTGTTAATTACTACTTACACGACCTACAAGTAAAGTGGACTGAAATATATTTGACTATATATTTTATTGTTTGATTTTCAGACCATTTTTCATGTGATCTAAACAAAAATGAAACTTATACATTTTACTTTAACGATATAAATAAATAATATTATTCTTTTATATTTCTGTTATTTATGTGTATTTTGGGGTATTTTTCTTTCAGCCTCACTGTTCATGTGGACCCAGAATGCACCTCATAAATGGGTACCATTCGAGAAACTCTTAGCTTTTTTCATGTCAGCATTAGTAAACATGAAGGGCGCACAAGTATTTAAAATCATAAGATACTATCTCAATCTGAACCAACATCTGGATCCAATTAGACAAAACAAAATGCTAAGTTCCAGATAAGAGAAGAAGAGAAAGAAAAACATTTCTTAACAAAATACATTTATTTTCACCCTCAGTTAAGAAAATGTCTTATTACATGGATCTCAAATAATAATTATATACACAAATGATACATATAATCTGTTTCAAAGACCAGATAGGCTTTCTGCTAATCCAAATAATCAAAGATGCATGGATTAGGGCTTAGATTTTCTATGCACATAATTCCTTCTAATGTATCTTCCTTCTAGTGTAATTGCATTTAAACATCTGTTTTTTTTATATATTAGCTAACACAGGCTTACAAGTTATACCATGTGTACAGAAAATCCAGATGGTTTAGGCTCGAAATGCTTATAATAAAAGAAAATGTACATTCAAAATTATTTTAAGTTGTAATATTTATATTATCATGAAGATTATGCAAAGTCTAGCACTATCTAGAGATGTGGTACTTGTATTCAAAGTTAATTAGGTAAAATTTTTAAATATTATAAGATATAAAAATTTAAATACTTACTCTTGGGAACATATCTTCATGGATACGGATAATTTAGATAACCTTGAAAAATGTTTGACATTAATCTGCGAAAATTAAATAACTCAGTGGTTTTTGGATTAGATGCTCATGAAATTCTGAGCCCCACAAATGATTTCACAATCTATTATATACAATAGATAGTATTAAAATTTGTTCAGTTTATCGTGGCTTTACATTAACCTTCATACAATCTTCTTAACTGTCACACAGTCATTACTTTTGTACCTCATTTTAGTTTTCTTTTCATTTGATCACATACAAACCTGATGCAAGTTTAAATTTTGACAAGACATGGAAACAAAAATAAGTTATAATCAAAGATAAGAGAAATTAATTTTAGGACTGGATCTCTTTAAGCTTAAAATAATGTACAGAAGTGATATACAGAACAGTTATAAAGGGATAAACTATGAAGCCAATGAACAAAATATACATATTTATAAATTAAAAACAAATGTCATGATTAGACCCTACATGAAATTCAATAACTTATATTTGAGCTGAATCCAGTTTAAATTGTTTTGAAATTGGCAGATGTAAAAAATGATAAGGAATTCCAATAATTTTTCATACATACACAACTTTACAGTTTACCTAACAAATTAAAAGTAACGATTATTTTTAATTATTCAAGTAGGCCTATATATTCTTCTTCAACCACTAGAAATATTCACATAGAGAGAACTTATTACTACTTTGTCAATATGTTAATGATTAAGTGAGATAGTCAATGTTAATATAAATAAGAAATGGATTTGTTTATAAGATATATTATTTGCATATTTACAAGTGATCCTTCTTTCTATATACAATAATGATAACAAGGACTATTTCATATATTCTTAATGCCAAGTAATATAGTAGAAGTCTATTACAATACCAACTATCGCAGATGTTGCTAGAAATGCAGATTTCGCACACCCTTCTATAGAATCTAATGTCAATCTGTCAACTAAGCGTTCTATTTGGAGAGTTCACACAGCTAATACCAGTATTTGTTTTGGTATATTTTTATAAATATTCTATAAATCAAGTAAATAACTCCTATTCTAAGCCAATTTAAATGAAAACAACCTCTCACACATAAATATAATGAAGTTAAAACAACAGGTCCACATTTAAAGAAAACCAGCAAATTATCCCATTTATGTATTTTTCAACACATAACTTGCCCTGCGTTCAGATGTCTTTTCCTCAAAACACATCACATCATTATGTAAGATGATTGAACACCAAGATTTTGTAATGGGTTGCTAACTCAACGCAGGGCATATAACATTTAAATCAAAAAAGATCAAAGCTAAAATTATTCAAAAAAAAAAAAAACCCATGATCACACTATCAATCACCACTATTACTGATGAAGGTTCAATACCAGAAACACATAAAAATTATATTAATAAAATCTATATGGTAACACTTTGATAGGCACTAATGAACTATTACTTATCTGGTTGTACAACCGATAACACTGTCAAGATAACACTAGTTAAATACTAATACAACAGTGAGATTCTGATAAGTTGAAATATAAGTTCTAATGATAACTAATGTTTCAATTGTACATTGGAAAGAGGAGATGGCTTACAGCTGGTGTCCGACCATGTTGTATAAATTTAGGAAAAAGCTAGCTTCTACTGTCCATAGAAGTAGAAACATAGTTAATGAACAACATCAGCCAAATCATCACATTATGCGTATTTTCGTTATTAAAGTTCAAGGGTTTACAACTGAATATCACTCGAAAAGTTCAATCATCAGTCCCTTTACAAATTTCTCAACAAATTCTATTTAATTCAATTCAATTTTTCTAATGAACACAACACAAATTGCATTCAGGTCCTTTCACAGACCAAAAAAATATTTTGACCGACCATTGATTTGGCTTCAAACTTCTTATTTCATTTGAGTAATTTTAGCTTTATATAAATAATATAAGTCAAAAACCAATTTATTTTCTTGTTTTACAGATCCCACCTCAATTTACCAGCCCTGGCATTCACATAAATTCCATCTTTTTTTTTTTCGCTCCTGCCTTGACCTTTTTATTCATGAGAAAAAAGCGTAAAACAAGAAAATACATTAAATAACGGACACAATTCTATGGTATACTACTCCTTAGTTTTATTACACTATGTTTCAACAATCTACATTGTCATCTTCAGGTGAAGATAAAATTGTGTTCGTTATGTAATGTGATCTCTACCCCTAAATATCGCTAGAGGATTAAGAAAATACATAGATTTGGCCTAAATTGGTTCAGTCAATTTTTATAGCTGAATAGATTTTACAGATGAACCAGTAAGCAGCGAAGAAGCCTACAGTGCCTGTTAAAACCCAGAAGGTAAACACCATTAATAACGTGTAAGTAAAGTATACTAATGTTGGAATGAATTCTGTTATTTCCAGCTGAAAAAAAACAACAAAGAACGTCACCAATTATGAAATGGAATTTTTATTTTACTACTCTGAACTGTATCGTGTAATATTGTATAAGAATATTTCAATGTATGTACACCACATTTATGGAAACTGAAGACAGCATCTTGTGATGTGAAATATATTTTGATCAAGAATACTATTCCCATATTAAGATAAGAGCAATGCTTTAGAATTTTGATTTCTTGCATTTGTCTTAGAGCAAATAGAACCCTATTGCAGGTATTGCTGCTTTTCTGAGCTGAATTCACTAGTAACATGATCAATGATGTCATTACTTGAGAATGGAAGTGAATTGTAGGAGAACTGTGCACAAGATGTTAATTCTGACAAGTAATACAGATGACTGAAATTGAGCATTGTTAGCTAGTTTAACAAATATATAGAACATACCTTGGTAACAAAGTAAAATATTGAGTAAGCAAATACATAGAAAGCTGATCCACCAGAGACTATAAAAGATCTCCACCACCAATGATAATCCTGAAAATAATAACATTCTCCATTTTTTACCTTTCAATGACCTTTTATGTTAAAATTTCTGTGTAATATCAAGAAATCATTTGTTTTCCTGATAACCAACTTTCATGCATCTGGTTTCCAACTTTTCCTTTTACTTTATTTTTCAGTTCATTGAAAATTTTTGTATTTTACGAATAATTCTAATTTCACTCATGAAATGACAGTCTTAAAATTAGTTTTCATAATGTTCCTACCTCACCACACAGTTGAAAGTATACCATGACAATGGAGATTTGAGATACAGATATAACTAATATTATAAATACAAGAAACAGAAAACCAAATAAATAATAAAACTGGTTCTCCCATATTGCCTGAAATAGAAAAAATAAACACAATTTTCTCCTGTTCAAAAAATTCTTTTGGTTTGTAAATATCATAAAGGCCTCAGTTTTTTGCCCCATCAACACAATTATCACCACAAACAATATTTATCATTTAATGGCTAGTTTGGAACTAGACATTCAAAGAATAAAAGACTAAAATTACTTACAGTAAAAATAAAGAAAAGTTCTATAAACATGGCACCAAATGGCAAAATACCAGCCATCAAAGTCCTGAAATTAATTTGTCGAAATTAATTAATGCACACATGCTTTTAGATTTGTAACAGTCCTTTCAATATATGTCTGACATGGTTCATGACCTATCATATTGAAACTGTATATTCTGGTTGTATTAAGATCACTATCTTGTAAAATACATAGCAAACTTCAGCAATGACGGGTATCAACTAAAAACTTTCATTTAAAAATTCAGTTATTGTTCATACATACCCCAATGTTGGACTCATATACCAAGTTTGTTCTGGAACTTGTCTTGGAATCTGGTTTGTTCGTACTGGATGTTGATAAGGCTTGAAAGAAAACAAAGCTATCAATCAAAACCTGAAGGTTCTAAACAACTGCCCTGTAATTATTGCACATCAAAGTTCAACCAGAGCTTGAACATCAAAGTGACCCCATTTGTCGCTATGATGCCCATGGGTACAGTAAGTATTTAACATAGCCCCAGTCAAAAATTATGAATGAAAAGCATACCTGTTTCCTAAAACCAAAATAAAATCCCAGATATACCAATGGTGTGGAAATACCAAACCATAAACATAGTAGAGCTAACATAGTTGTAAATGGTACCTAAAATAATTACAATATTTAATTTAAATACAATGCCAAATGAAATGAATGAAGTTTTATGCTCTGCCTTTCTGCACCTAATCAAGACAGGCAACACCATGCAAGGGTACAATGAGGGCAAATTTGTGGTATTGGCTTACATTTTTTTGATTTCTAACTCAGGAATCTTTGAAGTGCACAGCCTGTAACAAACACATGGAGACACTTTTCTCATGTCAGCCATTAGACCTCCCACTGACAGGGAGAAACTGGGTTGAAAAATCAAAAGGTGTTGTTATCTCAACCTATGCTCGGATTATAGAGCATGTCATTAGCCATTTAAAAACTGGACTGTCAGCTTTGGATTACACATAGATTTTTTAACATTCAGGTCAAATACTTACTGCTCCAGATGAATGTTTGCCCCAGAGGAAGAAATTGATCAAGAAACAAACACCAAACACCATTCCTGGATAAAACATGGCCGTTTGGAATGCTGCACTCTTCCATTGTATACCTTTCATAGTTTTATATAATCTGGCACAGAAATAACCAGATATAATTCTGTAATATATTTATACATTAATGTAACCATGGAGTTATATATTCTATAGTTTTATATAATCTGGCACAGAAATAACCAGATATAATTCTGTAATATAAATATTCATTAATATAACGACAGAGTTCTTGTTCAATATCTCTCTACAATTGATGTATTAAGCCATTTAACAGTGGTATTTCTCTATAACTCTATAACTGATGCATTGAGCATTATTTTAACATTCAGCTCTATTTGATGGTTGTTTACATGGAACAAAATTTTCATAAAACTTGTTTCATACAAAATATTGAATAGAAAAAGACAATCTTACCCCATAAACATGTAGAGTAATATAGCAGCTGTCATCAAGGCACCTCTTGATGAGGGTGATAACATACCTAACATAGCAAAAACTGAAACAAAAAATATAAATTATTAACAATATACTGATAGTGATCCAGCAATAATGATATATGACAGATAGTGATTAGTGACATCAGCTATAATTTTATACTTTCAGATAGTGACATCAGATATATTTGTATATAATAATAGTATACTTAGAGATATTGACCAGTGACATCAGTTATAATTTTATACTTACAGATAGTGACAGTAATAATTGTATACTTACAGATAGTGACAAGAGACATCAGTAATAATTGTATACTAACAGATAGTGACATCAGTAACAATTGTATACTTCCAGCTAGTGACATCAGTTAAAATTGTATATTTACAGATAGTGACATCAATAATAGTTGTATAATACAGATAGTGACATCAGTAAAAATTGTATACTTACAGATAATGACTAGAGACCTCAGTAATAATTGTATACTTACAGACAGTGACTAGAGAAATCAATAATAATTGTATACTTACAAATAGTGACTAGTGACATCAATAATAACTGTATACCAGCACCAGTCAATGCTGTTAATAATCTAGAGTATCTAGGTGGTCTAAATACATCACCATGTACTAACTTCCATCCTGTTTCTTCTATAGTTTCATCCTACAAAACGTATAATACAAATTCTTACACTTGAGCCCTTCAAAGTGCACGTCAACTTTGACTTTAATATTAGACTGAATCAAACTACATTTTTCATAAGAAACATCCCTTTAAACAACCAATTTGGATCAAAAGTTTATTGCCTACATTCAAGTAAAATCCAATGTTATCAGTAAATTGCTAAAAAGCAGTATTGGAATTAAATTTGTGGAATTTGAAAAGTAACAAGAATCATACCTCATCCTCTCTGTTATATTTAGCAATATCTCTTCTTAATGTTCTTACCATAATCATAGTTAAAATACCTAGAAACATATCAAATATAATCTGAATATACAACTTTTTCATTCCATACAGGAACTAGGATCTTAAGAGGTTTTGTCAATATTTTTTGTGTATAAGGGACACTGATAACATCAATTTGCACCATTCCTGTTTAAGTAAGGTGTATGTGGCTCTTGCAATGAATAGTATGGTGCAAATTGATGTTATCAGTGTCACTGATTCACATAAAAGTTTAGAAAACCTCTTTACAATCTCTTTAAAACATTTAAGAGGAGTGCAAGTGTTTACAAATCTAACCAATCAAATGTTCTGTTTAGGAATCGATTACCACTGCGTCTGATGAATTCTGGGGTATTTATTATCAACATTTACTTGAACTTGGATTATTACATCAAGGGTTGAGTATTGCCTGCCTCTTACACCATTCATACTAATGAATCAATAAAGTACCTGACAAAAAGAAGATAACCACTACAGAGTTGACAATAGAGAACCAATGTATCTGTACATCACTATTAGATAGAAATATATCCCATCTTGAAGCCCATTGTATATTACTGCTAGTCCAATCTACTTCATATGTAAAGATCATATTGGTTTCACCACCTGGGTTCATTTTCTGAGGAGCTATTTTAGATGGGTTCTTTAGTTTACAACCTCCGTCAGCCTGTATATCTAATTCTCCAAAAGCATAACTACAAACAGAAAAGCAATCAGTAATGTTCAAACAAGTACACAGATATCTGCGAAATATTACAATTTTGAGGTTGTCCATATAGAATTTTTTGTAACACAATTTCAGTGAAAAGTTTATTGATGATTTATTTGTCTGTAAATGAGCAGTTTTAAGGGGATAGGTTTTTTGACTATTTGAGTCTTCAATAAATGTAAATAGTCTTCAAAAGTACTAGAAATGTTTGAAAATCACATAATTCCTTCAAAAAGTATTATTCTTACCTTGTGGCTTTGACTTCACAGCCAACTACTCTATGTTCTATACTATAAATATATAACAAATAATCCTGTAAATCATTTAATACCTTAAGATACATTTACATGTAAGCATATCTTTAGGAGTCCAGCGTGCTAACAAAGACAGCTCGGTATTCATACTGATGGAAAATGCAGATGGACAAAAGTATCCTAAAAGACATTTTTCTATCTCTATGTAACACTCAATAGAAGCTTTATTTTTACAGCCTTTAAACGGAACTGAAATCGGGAATTGTTAAAATTTTGAAAGCAAAGATCACATCCTTATTCAAAGAACTAGATCTATCATAGCTGAGCCAGTACAAATTGCCTGATAGTTAGCTAGGAACTGAACAATCTCTGATTCACACGTTGCTATGGAATGAATAGAAATATGATAAAATTCTTCTTACTTGTCATCTGTATGGTATTGAAGCACTAATCTTAAATGATTGTTGATATACACCTACAAAAAAAAAATTACAACTTGCATCGTGATCAACAACACAAAGATTTTCAGAGATTCATAGTCATAACCTGTGAAAGATCTTCAGCTCCCAAAGGCTGAGAATGTGTAGAACATCATGTGGCTCTTGAAGAGTCAAAATATTCCATTGTTGTTTTGGTTAAATTTTGATTTCACAAATTACATTATCAAAAGATGATATAGCACAACAAGATATTTGGCATTGTTTCTGTGTGAACAGTTACTGATGTAAAAATCAAATACTTAACACCTCCCTTGATTAAGCAGCGTAATTCATAAAATAAAGAACTAACAGTATATATTTCTCTGATAGTTTATATATCTTCAAGAAACGGCAAATCATTTTATATTCTCAATGGATAGATGTTGAATATATATACTTCCTAACTATTGTTGAAAATATTTTCATATTCCAGTTCATCCAGATGAGCAGCACAGTAAGTTTATCTATAATGTTGGATATGGACCACATTTCACCTTTACATAAGTACATAACAGCAAAAAATATACTGAGAAGAATTGAAGCCATTTATACTTACTTCACCATTAGCTTCATATCCCAATCTGTAGCCTCTTTCATATTGTGAATCTTTAGAATCTAACAATTCAAACTTAGTAGCACATGGTAAGTTATCAACTAATCTGAAATAATGTAGAGGATGTGCAAGGTATTTGAAAATACTAAGCAACATAAGGTTTCTTTCGACAATGACGTAAAAATGTTTATAAAATGATAAGATCTATACAAGCAATGTTAAAAAATTTGGACTTAAACCCCTAAAATATTGTGCTACTTGCTTTTCTGACACTTGTCCAATCTGTATCCCTAAAAATATCGTTCCTCAAGGTCTTTATATAGCCAATCGGACACGAAACAGTGCCATGGTCAGTATGTAAAGTCTATGAAATTTGCATGTCATGGCGTGTTATAACATATCTTGTCAGATCTAGATTAAGTAAAGTTCCCGGCAAGGTATCTAAAGTTAAACAAAGTTGTACTTACAAGTTGACATAATAGTTGTGTTTAATTCTATCAATGACAAGCTTAGATTGAGCATCAGTTAAAACTTGTGGTTTTGTAGGATTCTCACATTCTGATTTACATGTTACTCTATTTAACATATTCACCTAGAGTATAAAAATTATTTAAGAAGTCATACACTAGTATTGAAGAAAATATTGTCCAAACCCTTTCAAGCTGTGTATCTGAAAGATTTTTTGACAGTTGGGTATTGAAGAAAACGGTAGAGTAATGCTTTTGTACCAACAAAATTCATTAGACTCATTAAAGATGGATTTCCTTATTTTCTTAGTGTCAAATTAAGCAAACTATTTGATTAATTGGTGTTTCTAATGAATCATATATTCTTATTTATATCATTATGTTCTTATTGCATATAAATATGAGTTAGAACCAATCATAAATGTCCATGTATTTACATTCTGGATAAACAAAAACAGACTTTTTGACCTTTCTTAATCGGTCACTCATTGGAATTCTGTTGGTTATTCTCTTCTAATTATGAATTAATTATGACCATGTGAGACAAACTGGTATTTTTCCAAGTCATTAAAACACCTCTATTTTCCATTCATATAAATATTAGCATTTCTAAGTCTATGCTCATTACTATAAATTCAGCAAAATTGAGAGTTGATAGAACATAATGACTTACAACATATGGAGTGTTGACAATCCTATCACCTCTCAAAACTTCACCTAAAATATGTATCAAATCATTTATAAGGAAATGTACAGATTAGTTTCCACTACAACAATGCATATCAATAATAGCTTGCATAAAGATTTACAAATTTGTCCACAAAATATACATACTTAGTTAAAAGAAGTTTTCAAAGGGTTAAACAGGTTTCACAGAACAAGGGCAATAACTCATTAATTTTGCTATTTAATTCAAAGGCTTTTTTAGGGTGGCAAATAAGCATTTTCATAATATCTAGTGAAATTGTGCCTTTTTGAGTGTTTAGTAGTACTTGTTAAAACGACTGACTGCAAGCGGACCTACTGAGAGACATTGCTCCTAAGCATAATTCAATGAAAGAGGACAGTAATATAAGGTCAACAATCTAAATTCCTAATAGCAATTTCACTGCCCATAGGGATAACCTAATCATTTCAGATAAACAATGATAACGTTTTTCCAAACATGTATACATTGCCTTAGGCTATAAGCTTATAGATAGCTTTAAATGGCTGATTTTGTTATCTATATTAATACAATTTTTGAAATCTATGTATAGATATGTCATAATTTATATCATAATTAACAGTATTTAATATAATGATTGGTAACTTATAAAATATAAAAATCAGTTCAATTAATAGTATAGTTACCTAAATTCTCTGTTTTACGTTCTATAACTTTAGGTTTGCAGAATGGTAAAGAATAATATTCATATGGTAACTGTGTTTTAATACTGGATAATTTTACAGCCTAAATGAAAAAATTGATTTTAAACAGGCCAAACTATATTGACTACTCACTTCTATGATGTAATACGAATAATGGCTTAATGATTTTTCGGCATTTCTGTTTGATACTTCTTTAATATTAACACCAGAAAATGAATTTTTGACTTGATCTAAATGGATTGAAAAGAGGTTTTCTAAAATAGACTGTTTTATGTCGTCAATATCGCAAAACCTACTAATATAAAGACCTTTGCTATAGTGACATCATTAAATGCTAGTTGAAGTGGCATTGCAAGAACCACAGAATCCTGATTAAAAATTGGAAGAATGCAAATTGATGCTATCAGTGTCCCTTAAACACATAATTTTTTTCAGAAAACCTCTTCACAATCCCTTTAATAATGACTAATTAAGATGAAACTCATCTATCTGCCTCAAAATTCAAGCTCATTAAAAAAAATAAAACTAAGATACTCCAATCAATAATATAAACATGTAAAGATTACATTCATTAGAATAAAAAAAAATAACAAGTTCACAGTGTTTACAAAAAATTTATCAAACTGCATTCAAGGGGAAAGAGAATATTAACACAAATTTGGTTATTTCATAGCTAAAGCAAATTCTTTATTTGGGTATGACCTAAGAAACCAAACACAAATTAATCAAAAACTGAGTATTTGGAGCTAAACTTACATCTTTGGCTCAGTCAGCAAAAATCATTACAAAAAAATCTTAAAAATACACTGACAAGTTAAGAAAGGAATAAAGACCTACCTTGACCTCCACTATGTCATCTTTTTTAAAGATTACTGGTGCCACACCAGGGACATAGAAACATTCTATAGATTTAAATAATAATATAATACAACAACTAAACAACACTTGATGATTCATTTTGTGTATCTGCAAAATAAAATAATCAAAGAACAGGTAAACATTTTAGCCCTTAGGTTGGGGATGTTATCCCCTATTTTCGTCCTGATTATGATGTTGAATTCGAAACATTTGTAGGCTGCATATTATGAGCTCTAATCAATTGTGTGTCATGGATTTTAAAATCCAATTACAGTAGAATTTCTTGCCCACTGTTTTCTTACATTGTTCATGTATCAGTCCAATTTCAATATTTCACGGCAGAGAATTTGCAGCTCAAAATGCTTAAGGAAATCCCTGACAGTTATATTATCTAAGCTTATACACAGACCAGAACACATTTTAGACAAATAGCATGCAGTTGAAAGTTGTATATTTAAAATCCTTGAAATGAGTAGAAAAATAAACAATTTTGACCTAATAATTTACTGTGATTATGCATCATCACTAAGAGAACGTTGTAACAAGATTATAAAAATCATTGTCGAGAAAACACATTTGAATGTAACCCTGTGACTATAGTTTAATCAGAAATTGACACAACGTCACAACAAACAATGTCAATATAATTTTACGTTCAGTCATTCAGCAAAGCAGTAGAAAAAAGTTTCTGATCTAGCCAACCTCGCTTCACAGATTTGTAAAATTTTCAATGCTGCAAATTAAATCATCAAATATTGTTTGAAAGTTCCCTACAGATTGTAACGCCTAACAAATCGTACATCTAGAAAGAATTCATATTAATGAACATGACAACATAAAAAGATACAAACCACCGACGCCATGTTGATTGAACGTGGAACTTGGTATGACGTCACGACCGACTGGTGCGCGTACGATAAAAAAACAGAAACGAAAGAAAACTATACCTGATATTTTTATTTTTTGACGATACACGAAATCATATCTTATTTTCATTTATTCCTTGTAACATATAGAAGTTTTCTTCTGATTTTTAACTAAATATTAATATTTCGTTTATTTTGTTCAGACAGTTAAAATTTGGAAAGGCCCATTTTTCAGATGGGTTAATGTAAAACATTATAATGCTTAATTTTGCATATCAAGCGCAAAAAGCATTATGCTTCGGTCACTTTAAGTTTATCAATGTATCATACAATAACGTTTTCCGATGAAATTCTAAAATTAAACGATTTCGACATTTTTGATCTTTGAGATGAAAGGTTCCCTTTCCTTTGGCCCCTTTAAAAAATACGTTGATCCACAGCGTCAATTTCCGCTCCGCCATTTCTTTCTTTTTGTAAACCTCGTGGTGGTTAGAAGCTGTCTGGCTCACCGCTGTTCAAAGGTCTATAAACTTTGATTACGTCGGCCAGTTATTAAAATGGTACATTTTTCTGTTTGCTTTGATATGATTTTCCCCTTAAATTTCCATTATAACATACTTCATGATGGCACTAGGTCTAAGTCTGCATCTATCTATCCTAACTAATAACACTGAAGACGAAGTGAACAGGACCAGTGCTGAATGAGAAGAGTAAGATGTAAATAACCCCATTTTATCGCCGTTTCTAAGCGAAAGAAATTGAAAGTTCAAATGGTCAGAGTAAATACCAATGCACTTGGTTGGTCACATGCTCTCAATCTAGTGGGATGCTGGGGCAGCAGGGTTAGGCCTCTAGTCAAAAGCTTCACTTCAATTTCAAATGTAGGGTTGCCTTAGTCATAACTTGATTGCAATTTTGTACTCATATTTATTTTAGTCTTATGCTAAAGAAACCTCCAAGGCTCCTCCAGCCGAACAAGTAAAAAATCACAGGATTAGGATTACCTTGACCAGCAGAAATGTGAAAAGTCTTGAAAAAGGTATGGTTATATTGCAGCAGCTTTCACAAGATAATCATAGCTAAAGCTTACATTTGGTCACTTAAAGAGTGTTAATTGTTAATTAATCCCCGGTTTGGGGATTTTATAAGTTATATCCATGATTAATAGAGCATAATAAAGGACATTCTTTATGTTTCCATGAAATTGAGTTCACTAATTTCTTTACCAGCTGTTGTGTATATATGTTTCACCTGAAGTGAGTGTCTTGCTAGATATTTTTGTTTGGCTTGACATTACCTTATTAATTCATAAAACTTAAATATTTTAGTTTGCTCTGACCTGATTTCTGGAGCTAAAGATAAGCAATTGAAAGTTCGTGGACCAGTTAGGATGCCAACCAGAATCCTGAGAATAACAACCCGAAAGACACCTTGTGGTGAGGGTTCCAAGACCTGGGATAGATTTCAGATGAGAATCCACAAAAGAATCATTGATCTTCACTCACCATCTGAAATTGTGAAGCAAATTGTATCCTTTATTATACTTTACAAATTTGAATATAACACTTTAAAGGAAGAGGTAAGCCATTTTGAAGGCTCAAGGCTTAGATAAAAATAAAAAATCCGTTTCTGATACTTAAGCATGGTTGGTAAAAAAGAAAATGGCACAAAACGTAGCCTACCTTTAAATTGGCATAAAAACCTCAAATTGGTTTAGTAAGATAATTGGCAATTCCTAGAACTTGTGAAAATTTTATCTGAATTGAAAATCAAATGCATATCACAAGTATGTGAAAGCCAGGATTGCTATACACAGAAATATTCAGTTATTCTTGTGCATTGTAAAATCTTCAAAAAGGGTCAAATTGTGTGAACTGGTTATGTATTTTGTGTATTCATTGTGTCCTTAACATTGTACTAGACATCTATAAGCATTGAACCAGGAGTAGCAGTAGAAGTCACCATTGCTGATGCTTAAATATCAAGATGATCTGATTCTTGAAAAATAAAAAAAAATGAAAAATATAACATGTTTTACTTTGACAATTCTTGCTTTGTGTTAAGTATCAATAAGCTTATCACATACAGGTTACTCAAACTTTCTGTAGAAGGGAAAGAAGAATTTTGACTGTATAGCTTGTTTTGAATAGATTACATGTCCTATTTAATTTGAACATAAGTGGTTTTGTCCCAATTCTCAAAGGCAGAGCAATCAATCGGGAATGTTTCTGACAAATATTCTGAAGGCTTAGTGGCAAATTCAAAGTTTGTTCAAAGCACGAATGAAGCATTAGTATACGGGTTCCGTGTCAAAAATTGAATTGCGTCACGACTTCTGACCTTACCCCAGTTACCGATAAAACTGGATATGGGAAGCTGGTCGTAAATGAAAATGTTAAGCTAATCATTTGATAAATTAGGACAATCAATTTAACATTAAAATTATTGTGGTCGGTAACAATAAAGTTGAATACAAAAAAGAGTTATTTCCCTTGCAACAGTTTTTGTACTGTACGGGATTCCCTATATATCATTTTGGTCCCAAAAAGGATGGGTACCATAAGAGTTATATAACGTTTTTATATGAAACGTCATCAACGCGGCGTTGTCCCACCATTAAGAAGTGTTCAACGTTGTACAAAAAATACGATTTAACGTTTGCTAGGGCCAAAATAATTTGTTTCCAAACAATATAAATCAGAAAGTAGGTTGGTATGAAAAATTCAAACACACCAGGAATATAGTTAGGTCGCTATAAAATCTTTTTAACAAATCTGAAATTTGTCCATGATAATGGGATGTCGACCATAAAATTTGATATATTACCTGACAATGACAATCTACTCACTAAGGAATATAACGGCACTGATGCCTGCATGATACTACCATTACTACGGTATTACTGAAATAACAGATCATACATACGTCTGATTTCTATTCTGAAAAGGGAAGGAAGTATTAAAGCAGCTATATACTTTACTGTTTATCTCGGAAACTTTTAATTTCAATTTTTTTCTGGTGGTTCAGGTTCCTGGGAAACTCGATCGAATTAGGACATCAACCACTTGTAAATATGACCAATTTCTAAAACCTTCAGACATTAGAAATACAGAATAACGGGTTAAACGGAATAGGCTTCCAAGAACTTCATTTAGAGACATAACAAGAATAGAAACGATCAGATGACCGATCTTATAGCCTTAAGCAGAGCATTGTTTTCCGGACTAGAAATTCTTTATAACATCATATGATGTTGAATTCATTTTTATACGCCCACATCTCTCTATGTGGACGTATATTGTCGGCACCCCTGTCCGTCCGTCAACCTTTGCTTGTAAACGCTCTAAAACTAGATTTTTTGACGGTATCAAATGAAATTCGGTATGTGTATTCATATTCATAAAACGAAGATCAAGTTCGAATTTGAGCTATTTTGACCGCTAGAAGCAGAGTTATTGCCCTTGCCACAAATTCTTGAATATGCTCTTACTCTTTTAGTTTTCAACCGATTTTGATAAAACTTAAAATGAATGTTTCGTTTTTACCATCCGCATGCCGTGGTGGACGTATATGGCTGTGGTCCACTATCTTTAGATGACATTGGCGAGGAAGTTCAAATAGGCTATTGAGCAGGAAAGGAATGTCAAGATCATCCAGTATATAATGTCATCGACGAGAGGTTAATTAGAGATGATATTATACTACGCCGAAGGCGGTGGACTGATATACGCCTTTCAGCTGAAATTACCATTCTGTGACATCTTCGACTTTTTGACTGAAGAAAGAAACAAGGATCAGACCTGACCTGACGAAGTTTCATGAACATTTGCCTTTTGTCGGTGTCTTAATATTCTACATCCGACGGATATGAGATACACGATGCCTTTTTTTTTTAAATATTTTATGACGCTGTTCATCTATCTGACAAACTGGAAAATTACAATTTAATGACCTTAGCTGCACATAGTATCTATGGGCTCCTTACGAAATAAGCGACCCCACACTGAATCATATTTAGACAGATACCGCCTCTGATGTAAGATACGAACGGTTTTGTTCCAATTATATTTTTTCTTGCACCACAAACATATGCATGTCTTATTGTCACGATCTGTTCATTAACATCACTAATGAGATATAATATACTTGTTAATATCTTAATGGTTTTGCTGGACAACATTATTTTATTACAAAACATGGGGCCGATGAGGAATACACAGAACATGGCTGCGACTGTCAATTACCAAACTAATTCAAATTAATTTACTTTTTTGTTTTCTTTTATGTTTTCATTGTACTCCTACACGTTTTCTATCGTTCTATAATCGCTTTCTATTGACGCTATCTTTAACCAATCATAGCGTTTCCCGTTCAAATATACAAATTGTGATGGCAAAACCCAAAGTAGAGCGATATGACGGATTTTTTCGGTTTTGAAATAACTCTTCATTATTACCAATAAACTCATCGACCCTTGCGGACTCAATGTCCATACAAATGATAGTCAACACATATAAGTATAGATTTATATGGATTTGTTTTATAGGTATTCAATTTTCTACGTGAAGAAGAATCAACCGATTCTTTTACATATGTGTGGGCCAATAAAGAGGTCTTCAACCAAGGAAACAGTGACTGTACTGGGCTACAATACAGTCATAATTCGGCTGACCTTTATTTATGACAGAACCTTGTCAGATCTTGAATTGACTTCTAGGGCCTACCCCAAAAAAATAAAAATCAAACAAATTCGCCAAAGAAAATTTTAATCATTTTGAAAAACAAGGTGATAATGATTTGAAGCAAACTTTATATGTTAGCAACTGACGAGTGATTTCGAAATTACAATTGCTTAAATGAATAAACGTCTCCGTCCGGGTGGTTTGTTATTTCATGCATCCATTGTTTCGGCAGTATTCGGTCAAAAAGATGACAATTGCCTTGGAATTCGATAACTGACAAACAATAATCGTACTTGGAACACATTTGTTTACATTCAGTAGAATCAATGTAGTTGATATCCTCTATGCTGTATTTTCTGTAGGTACATGTTCCTGTTACACAGTTGTATCTAAGAACCTTATAGCAATGTGGAAGCTCCTTACAAGCCTGAACACATTCCACTTCGTTGTCTACGTCATCAATACTTGTGTACAGACCCATAAAGATGGTGTTGATGATGGCAACCTTTGGATAGTCTTCAGTTTTGTCCATGTCACACGAAGCTGAAATATATATTGAAAGAAATAATAATGCTTAGTGTAGCGGCAGAAGCATCGTCATTTATTATAACATAGCAGTTACATAGAGACCAGGCAAGAGAAAAGTGGTCGACCACACCACCGCATCGAAATGAAGCAGACTGCTGAACTTGCTCATACTTATTGTACTTAATTTTTGTTTGTTATCAACGAATTTTAAACATATTGAAACACTTTGGCAATACCAATATTTGCGCAATTATTATCAACTTCCGGTTGATATGGCATTGTGTGAACATCTCATGAAATCAAACGACTATACAGAGATGATTCAGACCACAGAAAACTGACATTGTGGTAAAAAAAGATATCTGGGCCTACAAGCTGTGGTTTTTTGAACGTAGCTTTTTGTCCAGTTCAAAGATCCTCTAAAAATCTTGGTGCTAGTCTCTATGGAAGAGCGATCGACACTAGTAAAAATCAAAAGAACTACCTGTAGTATAAAACTAAAGAAACTTACATCTCGCAAACAAGGTGACCAAGATCAGCGAACACAGACCAAAAACAAACATCTTTGTCTTTTGTAAATTCTCAAATGATCGTTTTTCCTGGGCAGTATTTTAGCCTTATATAGTTTTTGATAAAAATCTCATTGGTAGACATATTTTCATAGAAGTAAAACAAGTGGTACATCAATAATCATCAATGCTTGAAGATCGCCATTAAGGTAAGCAAGTGAGACACCATTTTGGATAAAGTCGTCCTATATCTGTCTGCAATCTATACATCGTGTCACTATTTTACAACACGAAATAGGGTTAATATCCAAAATCTAAACTGAGTCATGAAAGTACAATGTAACATTATTTTATTTTTATCTTCTATGTAAGTAAGGAAAGTTAAGTTCTAAAATGAATGAAATGTAATTCAAAATTAAGATTGATTTGCTCCCGAAGCTTATCTGGAAGTTTTAAGAAAAATATATAACTGTCATTATTTAGAACGTCAAATCCATTTAAAACGTTTACATAAGACTGGTTGGTTTTTGGAAATAACGCCACATTGTAGTGAAATATGTCTTCTACTTCTACTTTCATTGCTACAAAATATATCCAGCCGATTTTAAAACATCCTTAGGTTGATCTAGTATAAATTATATTTGAAAAATGACCTCATTTATAAAAACTCAATTTCAATTTCGTTTTAAATGTTACTCAAAAGATACCCACGTCCAGAAATCAAGACACCACCTTGTTCCTTGACATGTCAACTCGGAACCTCTACGGGCGTCATCAAAGCGTAGAATGTTTATTCATTTATGTTCTAATGAAAGACTTCTTTTTGATTTCAAATTTTTGAAAAGATAGAATATGTTACTTAATGAACCTGGTTTGTTATGATACACCTTTATAATCAATCTAAGATTCCATATCATGTATTTGTATATATTAGATGTCAGGGAATGGTCTGAGACAAAACATCTTGTATTATCAGGAATTCCATTCATGTAGAAATAAATTCCATTATCATTTATAATTTTTGGTTGGTTTCAAGATTCCGGTTGTGAATATATTTTTAAAATATGTATTTAAAATAAAAAAAAAATAAAAATGGGTGTATAAATTTAAAAAGAAATTTCTGTACGACTCGATTAAAGTGACACGTTCGCCATCCGTTTGACCAATCGTACCTTAGTCTTCGAAGAGAACTTTTCTTAGCTAAGCTAATCAGTAATAGTGTTCACATCTCAGCAGCAAAACTTGCGCCTCCAAATCCATGTTTCCAGATTGATACGCGTTTCGAAAAGACAAATATAGAAATAGAAAGAAACATTTCTAGTTTGAGGTATATTTGAAGGGATTTAGCGATGTGCAGTTCAAGACATCATCCACCGGAAATACCGACTGTTTCCCATTGAAATGAAGCCCTGTTTTCAGACTCCCGATTCCCCATTCTACTGTTTTTTATCTATAGTAAATCTGCTGCATCTTGATACACCAAGAGCACTCTTTGAAACATCAATAAGCTGATATTCTGTTTATTTATGATTAATAGTCATTGGCCTATAAGAACCAAATAAAATTAAGCCTAATTAAATTCTATTCTGCCTGATTAACATTTACTTTTATATATATGTATACACCATATAGAATTATCTTAAAATGTTATATTTAAAAATGGATTAATTTAATGACTCTAAACTAACTTTAACCCAGTGGTGCTTCAGAAAAGTGGTTTTGTTAAAGCGATTTGAGATCGGTTCAAAGCGGTTTCAGTGCAACGCGCTGATGCACTCTAAGGCTTTAAAGCGCATTCAATCCGCTTTAAACCTCTAGTGTGAATACGACCAAAAATGAAAGGAATCAAACTTTGTCAGTTTTTTCGGTTTCATAAAAATGGTTTTGGATTTGTTGATGTTCGTTAACATACCTTCATCGTAACACCATTGGTTAACAATGTCTCTTTGCATGTTGTCGAGATTTTCACAGACAGTTGTATATTAGTGTCATCTGCAAAGAAGCATATTATATCGTTTATAAAAATCAGAATTAGAAGTACTACTGACAGGTTCCAAATGATCTATCATTTAAGAATAATTTCTTCCCAAATCTACTTGTATTTATCCAGAAGAATTCAAGTTACAGATCAGATGATATGAAAAATGGCTCTAGTCCTACAGACTCGATGAATAATAATCAAACAGAATCAAACCATCTATCACAGCTCCAGTTGACTTTCTTGATAGCTTTCTTTCATCGCTAACTTCCCCAACAACCATTCCTTATCATCAAAATCCATCAAAGACGTGATCAGAACAGCATATAGCGTCCATCAATCAATTGGCAGTCAAACGGTCATCTTTGGCCACTTGAAATTAATTAATCCATTTCTGACCTCGACTTCCATTTCATTTGATTGCTCAACTATGTAATTCAGTCCATGTTGAAGGAAATTATTCCGGTTCTACAGGAATTTGTATAGTGAACTGCTGTGGTCGTAATGTTTACACGACTATTAGCGTGGAATTAGACTATTGCTGGTAGGGTAATCAAAGTTCAGGTTGGTTTTATGGTAATCTGTCTTATTACCAGTAATTGAAATTAGAACAGACTTTCGTGAGGTTTTTTTTATTGGGTTTTATTCTTAATATAACCACTTCAGAAAGGGTCTATTGACAGCCCTCTTGATCGTTCGTCAAATTAACCCTTTGACCTAACCTGATAAACACCGCGTCTCAAAGTGCCAGCGCTGGAGTGTGTAGAAATTTGATTGGTTAAGCAATAAAATCGTCTCGTTACTCGATTGAGACAATAAACTGATAAAGGATCTGAACGTTGAAGATCTCACTACCGTTAGGAATTGCACTGACAGGAAAAGATCTTTTAGGACAGAACAATGAAATCATCTTGGTTTTCGAAGGGACAATAAACCTATACCATGTCTGTAACAGTATCTGAACGTTGAAAATCCCCCCCCCCCTACAGAAGAGAATAGCCATGAGAAAATTCCCAAATTACACACTATTGTTTTACTTCATCAGCGGGAATACGAAAAGAAGGACGTAAAACTCAATACATATGATATGACATGATACGATGGATATAAAATAAAGATAAAAAGTCAAAATCTCTCTTCGGTTTTCACTTTACGGAATAATGATATATCATACGCTATATGATATGATTTTGCTGGCAAATTAATAATGACGCAAACAGTTGAACCGTTGAAGTATATTATAAATATTACGTTAACATGTTATGATTCCAATTAAGACCATAGTTAAAGAATCAAATGTCAAGTTAGCAGTACATATGATGTCATTAGCTTCAGGTGAAATTATAATGAGACTTGCAACACGATCGCCTGGTCTCTATAATTAATTACGTACTTGTGTATTTCGTAATCGTCATGTTTACTATTTCCATACCATGTAAATATGCTTATAGGCGTACATCAATAACACGATAAACAAATACGATTTCGCAAAGAAAATGAAACGTTTCAGACCCGATCTTTCAGATGGGCAGGTTAACAAGATGGTCTGGTGCAAAGTCAATAATAACACAGTTCTTATAGTCTTTGGTTCATTAAATGATTGTACTTGTTGGTGGCAAAAGTTTGTTTCAATCGCTTAGACCTATAACTTTTCAGACAAACTTCACACTTCAGCGCCACACTAAATTTCTTCTTTTCTACGCCTTAAAGTCTTTAACTGTAGTTCCGCAAATTGGCAAACAAACTGATTTGTGATATAATAAACAAGTAAAAACAATAGGCTATGAAAATTGGCAATAAAGTATGGTTGACGAGTTATTGACTTTTTACCCTACAAAATAAAGTCATTGATTTAATCAAATAACTGGTTTTTATTTTATTGTGGTTGGCCATAAAACCATCTCATTCAGTTTATAAATGTTACAATTTCTTCCACACGACCATATTTTAGTAGAATTTTAAACCAACAAATCAATGATATTATGAATATAGACCATGGATAATGTCAGATGTTGAACATTGAGGCCCTGTGCCGGGCATTTTCCATTTGAACCACACAAATCATATATAGACATAAACATATGCTTTATAGCTACAAAGATATATTTCTTATTTGACATTGACATTTCTTTCTTATTTGACATTGGCATTTCTTTCTCATGTGACATTTCTATCACTGCAGTATATGTCGATGAATTAAATGATATCCTTAGTCGTCTACGATTGAATAAATTTGATATGGAATCCATTTCAGTTGGGGTTTCCAGCTTATTTTGCAAACTATCAACAACAAGTTCGTATTCAATCAAACCTTGATTTAAACCACCTCCGAAAGCCATATAAAGGGGGTATACAGGATTTCTACGGTAAATGTCACAAGTTAATCTAATTTGTTTAAATAATCATCCATTTTGAAACACTTAAGATCGACAAAAGAAATTTCTACTGATTCACAAATAGAATTAAGAAGTTATAGTTGATTCAGAGTAACTTTATTTTTAAATTAACTTCGCTAAAAATACTTTAACTAAAAATATTAAAAGTTTAATGTTATTCGGGCAGAATAGAATTTAATTAGGCTTAATCTTATTCCGTGCATAGCCTATTATACCATTATTACAATACAGTCGGCGTATTCTCAAAAAGCTTATAGGATCCTTACTTCTACCACTGTTTCTAGGACATCCTAGCGCTAAGATCGTTTCCAGACTACGTGGTTTGTTTTTTTATATTTGCAATATTAAGAAAAAAATCAATATTCATTGATCTGAAAAATAAACTACGTTTTGCCTTTAGCAATTTACTGATCACTTCCCTGTCTGTAACAAGTCTTAAAACAGATCCGTATTAATATTATATCCCTCTAAGGATCATCATACCACTGTTTTTAAAAAATGATCGACATGAAGATAGAACGGTCTGCTTAGTTTTTTTTTTAGGTCGTATTCATGTTTTCTTAGAACTATATGATATCCACATAGCTGTAAGGTTTTTTTGAAAATTTTGTTGACGTAGGTGTTGTGTTTTACATAACTCGTTAAGAGTAATACATTGAAGTTGTGTTCTTTGATCTATT